GACAGGAAGCGCGTGCCCGCGCCGACGCACTCGCTGAACCCGGCTCGGTATTTACCCAGAACTAATGGGTCTGTGGTCGCAGCAGCTGTGGGGGGGGAATGAAAATGATGAGCATTTCTGCACTTATTCAATTTATTGTTTTATTCTCTTTTAAACTCACTTAACGCAAAGACTGGGTTGCAACCCTCGGGTGGGTCGCAAGAGTTTTTTTATGGGTCGTTTCGCATAAATTGTAAATATAATGCGATTAAAAACAATAACTTAAAGTGCAAACGTTTCCTACATGTACTGTAACAACAACTACGCTGGAACTCGATGAAGAAATGAACGGCAGGAAATGTTAGTTACCAGTCAGCTGGTGGCGCTGCAGGTTCCTCAGGTGCTTCACGGTCATCTCCAGTATATCTGCCTTCTCCAGTTTGGAGTGTCTGGAACTCTGCAGGGAGGGAGACAAAGACAAGGTTTAGTTCTGGACGCACAAAGTGGGGGAAAAAGTCAACGTGAAACTCGTGGGTGTTCTCACGTCTTTCTTGAGGGCGTCCAGGATGAGGGTCTTCAGCTGACCCAGACTCTCATTGATCCGAGCACGTCTGCGTTTTTCCATGATTGGTTTGGAAGACTTGAGGGGAAAAAAAAAACAAAAAAAACCCAGTCAAAATATTGTCCATCATGCAACATTTCAGGACGGTTCTTACTGTAATTGTTATTGCTAATAATAATTACTATTTATTATTTTTTAACTTTTTTTATTTAATTATTATAATTATTATTTATTATAACTGTTACTATTACTTTTACATCTGGACTAATAACAGACACAAACTTTTTTTTTTTTACCAAGCTCATAGCTTAACTCTACATGTGCAATTAAACACATTTTATTTAGAGAAATAATAATAAATACACTTTTTTTTTCTTTGCAAAAATCAGTGCTACAGTAAACTAAGATTTGTGGTACAAACCTACACGTATTTCAATAAAAATACCCGCTAAAGTGTATTCAAGTCTTCCGGAGAATAAACGTACCTTTCTGTTCTCCATCAAGCCGCGGGGCTTCTCCGGCCTGGAGCTCATACTGGCAGGAACGGCAGCCACAGCGGACGGAGATGTTCGGTCCAAATTCCCTGCAGGCATCCTGTGGTGTGTGACGGAGGACAGTGACGAAGAAGACTGACGCTGAGCACCAAACACCCCGAGAGTCCAGTGAAGTATCCTCCCAGGTCTGCTGACTGGTACCTGCTCTCTCTCTCTCTTCTTCTCTCTCTTCTGCTGCAGCTTCTCCCACTCTTATTTATAAAGTTGGAGCTCCACGCGAGCGGCTCGTGCGCGCGTTCCCAGGATTCCACTGTTGGACCAATTGGCGAGAGGACAGTGCGCACGGGAGGCGGTGGGCTCGTGTGTGGACGTGATGTCATTGGCTGCGAGTCAGACTCTGCGGGATGATGAGGAGGAGAAGGGGAACTTTCTAACGTTTCTGATGGATTGAAATAAATACATGTTTTTCTTCTTCGTGGCTTCACCTCCGTCGTCGAGAAAAATAATGCTTTAATTTTATTTTATAAACTGAAGTATATTTTTCCCATATTATTATGCTATTTTGTTGCTATCTTGTTATCTTAAATGTACAAACGACCGTTATAACGCTCATTTATTCCTGGGTTAATTTATTGCATCATTTCTTACCACAGTTTTATTATAATATAATATACATATAGACGTGTTTTAATACATTCATGTTAAATTAAAATGTTAATAATATATACTATAATATATATTATTAATATAATATATTAATTAAAAATGTAATATATACAATACATTATGAGTAAATAATCAGAACGATGTTTAAATAATTTATAAAATAGTCACTGCATTATTTATATTTTTTTTTTAAATTTTTTGGCTGTTACCCTTTGATAAAGTGAATTAACTGTAACTAATAAATAAATAAATTAAAAACTAAAAAGATTAGACTCGATTTTTGTACATTACTGCACTGAGCTACACTGAGAAGAAACGTGAAACAGACTCAGCTCTGCAGCCTGTTCCCACACGTCGGCAGAGCTGCCATCCTAATTGCCCAACACACTCTCACACACACACACACCCTGTCAGGGGTCAGTGGGTGCTGCAGTGTGTGTCAGTAAAGACCTCATCCTCTGACACATTCCAGGTCTGATGTCCAGTGAAGAAGAAAATCTCCGACACACTCATACCTCCTGTCACTGCGGTGACCTCTGACCCCGGCTGTCTGTTATCGTTGACCAGGCACTGACGCCACAATTATCTAGAGTAGATTCACTCAAATGTGTTAACGTTGTTTTGCTTGCAAAATAACTAATGGACAAGTTGAGTAAATTTACTGTCACACAAAGAATAAAAACATCTATAAATAATCATATAAAAAACGTTTGTTTTTAATAGTCTTCGGCCATATTTCATTGTAAGGACTGATCTAAGGACAGTCCTGGTCTGGTCCAGGTTTTACCGTCTGACTCCTGGATCCTCTCTGATGGACTTCAAACTCTCTTCTCTAAAGCTCCTAAATCCTCAGAGGTGAAATGACCCCAGAAGAAGGTCAGAAGTTGCAACTTTATTTACCACGGGCATCTGGACCTCAGTCAGAACTTCAATAGTGAAAGACAGGAACTTTTCGAATCAACTCTTGATTTTAAGACTTCAATTAATAAAGTTTGTTTTTGACAAAATAAAAGTCTTATTTGTCAAAAGGATGAACACAAAATGCATGTTTACGGCGACGGATTAAAACAAAGCGTTTTGAAACAGTTCTCCTGGGATCACATAAAATGTTCACTTGATCGCCGCTCTTCTTCTCTTCTTTTAACAAGCTGCTCTTTGAAAAACAAAAAAAAAAAAAAAGAGAAAGAAAAAAGAAGACGTGACGTCCCTGATGAGAAGGCTTCTGAAAGAAGAGGCCGTGCGACAATAAATTACATCAGCTGTGTTTTGGTGGAGCCCGCTGGCTGCTGCTCTGCCACTAACAAACCTTTATTGTGTGGACGGGGATGAGGACATGAGGAGTTTTTATGGCACAGGCCTGATCTGTATCAGTGTGGGAACAGGCAGAAAAACACATCCGAGTCCTGATAGGTAGTGATAAACACATGTTGAGGGGACGCTCTGGCTGGAGGAGCTGGACGGTATTGTTAGAAAACTTTTCTGGACAGACACCTTGGATCGGACAGTTAGCGGGCCAGATTCAGCCCAGGAACCACCAGTTGAAGGTCACTGGTATAAAATGAGCACCCATCAACAGATCAGGTCTCACTTTTGGTTCATTGTAATTCAGTCAATATTTTCCAGAGCTTCTAAGTAGATGACTAACAGTTTTGAATTTGTCATTTTTAGTCACTAAAACTTAAAAAAAAAAAATGAACCCAAAGCATGGAGCTTTGGGTACGGCATGGTTTCCTTCCCAAAGACTGGGTCGCAACCCTCAGGTGGGTCGAGTTTTTGGGGAGTTGTCTCGCATCATGTTTCCCAGGAGTTTACGAATAATGTCTATTGACTTGGGTCGCGAAGGTTTGTGACTTTTAAAATATGAGTCCCCAGAAAAAAAAGTTTGGGAGACACTGGGTTGCGGGGTCTTAAAAAAAAACCTTCTGAACTACAGAAGGTTATTATATATACAAAATATGCAAATAAAAAAAACAATTTTTCTAAAAAACGTTCATTTTCAGACCAATCACTGCTGCTTTGCAAACGCCACACTTCCCTCCGCCTTCACCTGGGCTCGGAGTCTCCCCTCCACCCGGTCGTACACTGCTGTCGCGGCAGTGAAATGATCATCCCCGTCATCACACGCTGCTGAGGTTGCCTTTCAACTGTTGGTATGAAAACATCTTAGGACCAGGAGGGTTGGCCACAGACAGAGCGGATCACTTAAACATCTCCGCCGGTGCACCGCTCGCACCCGGGCCCTCCTCCTGCCTTTGAATTTCCTCCTAAAGCTGGAAGGTGGGGGCCCCTCCCATAGCAACTTCCAGCCCTGAGCTCTGCTCCCCTTTTGTCCCCCTCCCCAACAGAAGTTTCTGCTCCAGAGGCCTTAGACAAGGCTTCCATTAATTGCAGGCCTGTGTGGAATACACGTGGGACAATGGAGCCAACAGAGTATCCGGCCCCCAGACAAGGCTGGAAACAAGTGGTACAGGAATCTGGTAGAAAAGCCTGGTCCTGGCTGATGTCACTGAATACATTTACCTACCTCAGAGCACATTCACTCCCTGCTTTGTTTTATTTGGACAAAAAAAAAAAAAAGAAGGAGAAGGGCGGAGGCGGGGGGAATCAATAGAGAAGAGGAGCTGGAGGGAGGGTGGGCTCAAGGATGGGAAATAAGTGGTCGTCATGGTGATGCGCCGAATCAAAAAATATGGTCGAATTTAGCAAAGGCAGAGATGTAGAAAGGGTGGAGGGCGTTAGATTAAACCCTATGTGAGATAAGAGAAGTCTGAAAACAGAGGTTTTTTTTCTTTCTCCACTGTATTCAGCCCTGTTTATACGGCAATAAAGAGAGAATAAAGCAGCGGGAGATTAGGAGTCTCATCTAGACCCCTGTTTGTCAACAACCACTGGTTTCAAGTCAGCTTATTCCAAGTCACTACACCGGCCTCAGAGGAGATGCCGAGCGGTGATGAGCAAAGTTGAGGAGGAGAAATGGGACCATAGCAACTGGTATTTCAGCAAAAACAACCCGCCATCTGTCACCTACCCTGGTGGGTTCCTTCGCATTTAGATCTTTAACGTGGACGCAAAGGCAATGAGACTGTAGTCTTATTGAACCCTGGGTCCCGTCCTTTGAAAAGGGAGAAGAAGCTAGTCGTCGCCTTATCCCTCATCAAACCGAAACACACTTTTAGAGCTTCTAAGAGAGGCCTCACTTTTTAATTTTTAAAAGCCAAGACTTGAAAGTGCCCCTAAACCACATTCAAGCCTTTAAAGCACTAGTTAGCATGTAGATTATATGCATTCGAGTGCATTGTCAAAGTCTCCTACGTGTATTTACATGTTAATATGCTCAGGGATCGCAACATCTTGAAAAGGTGTTGGGGGAAGGTTTGTTAACCGCGTATTTACTCTTTTTTTAGTCCCAGAGAACGCCGGTTCTTTCGCGGCGTCCGAGTTCAAACGCATTCATGGTGAAGCCACGGATATGGCCAGCACTAATTCCCCCGCTGAAAAACAACCTGATGACCCGTGCTGAACAACGAGGTCCCTGTCAGTAAATATATGTATGCTATCATAACCAGGTTAGCGTTGGGTAAAGACGTCTGCAAACACCACCACGACGAGTGACGCCGCCTCACGCCTGTCCTCGTCCTCAGCCAAGATTAGGCCCATATCCATGAGAGTGTTTGCTCTGGGATTTATGAAAGTGAAGATGGCCCATTCTCACCACTCAAGATGACTCACAAGACCAGCGTTTTGGCCACTTAGGGTTGTGAAAGCAGCCCAGGGGATGCCCTTTCAGCACTCAAGGACCTCTGGCTGAGTCTCCTTCACGCTGCAGATCAGCTTCGCGTCCTGCGGGACGGCGCACTCCTTGTCCCAGGGCCTCCCTCCTTCACCTGCCGGCTTAGTGCTCATCACTTATGCACATAATCCCTGGTTAGTGCATGTGCAGAGGCAGCCCAGATCCAGGCCCCTGGCCCCTGAAACCTCCCCGGCTCAAATGCTTGCTGGGTGGCTCCTAGGTGGCCATGGCAACTCTCATCGTTTCATGACAGTCAGGCTTCAGATACGGCTGTGAGTCTGCAGCTTTCTGTCCCCCTTCAGATGTCTTCTGTTTGTGTGTTTCTAGCCCTTTTTTTTCCCATGGCTCCGATCAGCTGGGGTCTTTAGTCGCAGGTACGACTTTAGGGGCCACAAATGTATCAATCCTGTCCTCCTCAGCATTTAAAGATCAGGTTCAGTATCTCTGCAAATAAAGGCCTGCCCTCATTTAATTGTCAGTCCAAACTGTTAACTGAGATGTGACGATACATTTGTGTTTCTTTTCACTCTGGCCACCGAAGACCAGTGAGTGTGGATCGTCTTACACCGAAGCAAACCCCCCCCAACCCCGCGGTGTCGGCCATTAGTTTGTTTAAGACGCTGAATATCGCCCCCTGGCCCTCAGGGGACGGAGAGAGGCAACCCCGGTGATGTTGTGTGGCCCCAAACTAACAAGCGTCACAGTGATCCGAGCTGGTCCTCCCCGTATGTGAAAGCCATGTGAGAGGCGGCTCCATCCCTGCCCCTGCCACCTCCGCACAAGGCCCTCCATTGACTTCTAACCTGTTGAGGGACCACGGGAGACAAAGCGCCGCGGGGCGGGGTCCGTCCCTCCGACAAGCCTGTGAACAAACGTTAACACGGCTGCAACTGTCCACCCCCTGAATCACTGAATTTATTGACCAACCACAGAGCCCATTCAGGCCCGGGACGACTGATAATGGACGGGGGGACAAGGAAAGCCAAGAAGGGCCGAGGAGAGGAGCCCACGGACAGGGGACAGGAGGGGAGAAGAATGGCTTTGTGACCGTCTGCTGGGTCACAGACCTTTTACCAGACGTGGCTGCTTTTGTGTTACGGATGAAAATGAGGCCAAACGTAAGTGAGCATCAGGTTAGCCTTGTGCGCCGGTAATTAATCAAGACCGAGGCCTTGGAATTGCTGAGGAATCTTGGGAGAAGATGGAGACAATTATTTAATTAGGAGCCAGTAAGAGGCAGAATGAGAAACCATCTAAACTTGTATGCCCTTTTAATGATGGGTTACAGAAGAATTTACCAACAAAAAGACACCTCCGACAGTGGAGAAAGATGCGGTTTTGTAATTCATGGAAAATGAGGTCTAGTATCGTCATCAAAAACATTAACATCAGTCTTTACCATACATAGTACCAGTGTGCGGCGGACCGCATTCAAAAGCCCAGCGGGCCGTATCTGGCCCAAGGACCATAGTTTGCTCATGTCTGCCTTTTTAGCATCGACAGAAATTCCTACGCTTCTAAATATCACTGAACACATCCATCTTTGTCTTTAGAGGACAGACAGGACGGCCCTTTTGTCCAACCCTGACCAACACTTTCTGGAGTTTTTTCTCCATTTTAATGTAGATGTTTAAAAATGCAGATCCCTTTTAATTGCTACAAAAATAATCACTCGCGGCTCCAGTTGTGCTGAAAGTGAAGGAATGCGACTCGAACGCTGGCCCCAAATCTTGAAAGTAAACACACGAGACAAAGCAACATATGGAAGAAAGAGAAAAGGGACAAAATCCAAAATGTTTAGTCGGTAAATGTGGCAGCGCAAGCTTGAGAAAATCTTTTCCACCCAGTATCTGGCTGTGAGGAATAAAAGCTGTGTGTTTTAGCGTCTTTATGTCTCTCCACCAGCCTCCATCTGTTGCTCCATCAATGCAGAGAGGAAAACAGCACAGGCTACACACACACACACACACACACACACAAGAACCCATATTGCTGTGTGAAGAGGCAACACTATCCAGAAAACGACATGACAAACAGTGACAGGAAGGGAAACATCTCCGCTCTGTAAACACCAGTGTTTACAGAAAAGATGATCCTCCAAAGTCAGGGAGACACACATGAATTCATGATGCCTCCTCTTCCTCATCATGAATATTCCCTAATCCCCTGATCTGTGGGAGATTCCTTTCTCTCTGGTACAAGACAGCCCCCCCCCCATCTCACCCCCACCTCCTCCCTTAAATCCACCCATTCACTGCCAACAGTCCCTGATCTCCACATAAAGTGATACCCGGTCTTTCTCCTCCACTCTGAGGCCTTAAAGCGCCCATATGCCAGGCAGCTAGGAGGCTGGGAAAGCCCATAATTGATCCGTAAGTTCACGTTGGAAAAGTGCGATAGAGGGCAGCCCCCCCACGACGCGCAAGAGAGCGGTTTAATACGCCGACTTATCGGCAACGTTTACAGGATTTCTCCAGTATAAACTCGAAAAACAATCCTAAGATGCTGTGAAGAATGAGAAAATAGTCTGTTTTTAGAATAAAATCCCAGAAGAATATTATTGTCTGGTTAACAAAAATACAGTTGTAAACAGTTTTATACACAAAGTCATTCATTGAAATCAAGTTAGAGATGGTCACAGCAGCAGGCGGTTCAAAAGATTACGCTTCTAAATATTACGTCATTACATCATCACGAGATCAAAGCTACAGCACGTACCTCTGTCTTAGCTAGAATTAACTTACAAAAAAAAAAGGACATTAAAAGAATCAACTAATGTGATGTAAAATGGTTCCAGTTGATTATCGTTTCACAGTTGTTTTTTCTATCCTAAAAAAAAACGTTGATTATCGTTTCACATTTGTTTTTTCTATCCTAAAAAACCACATTTACAGACTGGCAGTGGGACACAAACATCATTGTCTTCTTGTTTTCCTAAGGTCTCTTCCACAGGAAGAACGTTTACATTGACATTTATTCATTTAACGGATGCTTTTTATCCAAAGCGACTTGTTAACTCCGGCGGGGACAAATGAAAATGGAAATGTAGCAGTGGAACCCGGTCCTCGTGTTTCACAGCTTTTTTTAATTTGGCAGGAATCGTTAGTGAAAGAAGGTCTCTATGACTCGTTTGCAGATGTGAGGTTTGGTACCACATTTGGCTCAGACACTGCAGCAGATAATAAATAAACACCTGACTCTCTGTTGAGAGTCGTGATTCCAGTGATACAAAAGCAGAGAATATGATCCCAGTACACACAATACTCCGTACTGCATCCACACAGTGTCTCCCGTCATGGAGGTCGCTCATCTTTAGGCTCACTTGTGAATGTATTTTGGGCTTAAGTAAGCTAACGTTTATCTTTTTTTTTTTTTTGAACTGTCACCAATTTTAACTACATCTCAATGCCACAGGCTAACATCGCATTTATTTATTCATCTGTTAGTTAAGCTATGATTTAACTAAGATGTAATAATAAAAGAGTTTTGATCATCTGGCATCAACTTCAAAACACCTTTTGAAATATAATATAATAATTTAATTTTATATCTAGATTAAAATAATACCAGTTGTGTGTGTGATCACAGCCTTGTGTCACCTCAAAGTCAAGTTCACCTGAAACGTCTTACTCTGCTGTGCAGGCAGTCTGTCAACCACGTGTGTGTGTGTGTTCATGGAGATCAGTTTCATCTCCAAACTCAGTTTCTTACCTGTCAGGCTCCACGTTCAGTCTGTACAGTACTTTACTTTTGTTGATCAGTTTTTGTTTTTTGTTTGCGTCTGTCAGAGATTTGCTGAAACATCCCACTGAGGCTGAGTGGCGTAGGTGACAGAGGAAGGTCGGGGCGGCCAGTCCAGGTCATCTTGCAGTTCCAGGGCCACCTGCATGTATAACATCCTTGGTTTTTTGCTTTTCTGACAAAAAAGCCACTTCAGGCAGGATGAGGCCCAGCGGTCGTTGGCCACCTGTGAGGGTACAAAACGTTTTAGCACTAAAAATTGGCAACAGGACACACCTAAAATCAAAGAAGAGTTAAGTGGTTGCTTCAGGTAATATTTATATATACTTTAAAAAGTTAAAGGTTATTTTTAAAGTACTGCAAAAGTATCTAGGAGTTAGCCAAAATAGACAAGAAAGCAAAAGTTAAAAAGTTGATGTTGATGACAATTTATCTTGAGAATTTGACATGAGAATAAATCACCAGGAGAAAACGTTGGAACAGAGTGAAATAGAAAACAGCAGTAGACTCAGGACGAGAGGAGAAGAAGGAAACGCACCGACACAACGGAGACAAAGTTAAAGCTCTCCAACCTGAGGTGTTGCAGAGGCATGGGACTCTGGGGCTCTGTTCTGCCCCTTATGGCCTCTGAAAACTAGCCTCCACAGGATGATGTCAAGGATGAACATCTAGGGAAGATTGCAGTCGGAACTTGAGACTCAGATCACTAATCAAAATGAGGAAGGACTGAAGATTTGTTTTATGGCAGCAGAGCAGACAGACAGAAATGAAATCAAACAGAAACAACCAGGGGAGATTCATAGCTAACGTTCGTCAGCAAAAGCTTTGATTCAGTCACTGATTTAAAAAAAATAAAAATAAATCATGCATTGTCCCTTTTTTCCCCCCCTGAATAAAACATAAAGAGATCAGTCACACAAAGGATAACGCAGTACAGTAGAGTACCTCAAGGATGAAAGACACGGCTGCATTCACCACCACAATGACAACAAGGGTGACGCGCCAGTCTTGGGGAACACACACGATCTGGGAGCAAACGCAGGCACGGTCAAAAAAAAAAAAAAAAAAATACTGATTCAACTTAACAAAACTGGACTGTTTTACCTCCAGAAACCTGTCGACTGCAGGGAAAGGGTGAAGCAGGATGAGCAGCAGAAAGCTGTACAAGCCAATGCAGGAGAGCATGAAGGGCCCTTCACAAAAAATAAAAAAAAATAAAATTGAATTACACTTTGGCATCACTTTCATGACATTATTATAGTATTAATTAATTAAAATCATTTGGATTAGTCACAAACGTACTACCATCTACCTGCTGCTATTTGTCTTTCTGCCCCTATTCAAAATATTTTCCTTTCAATTTTTGTGCATACTTATCCCATCTTTAGAATACATTTTTCCAAACTAAACTCTGAGAATCTGAAAGGACCTGAACATGTCTCACAGTTCTTGTAGCTTGGCTGTCTGAAGGGCTTCCCCTTGGAGAAGACGATGGCCACAGCCAGATACTGGAAGGAGGAGACGTAGAAGAGGGTGGTGTTCTCGTAGTTCTTAATGTTTTTGTGGTCGTGAGGAGTTGTCACGTTGTGGCTGGAGAAACTGGTGCGGGTAACGTTGCAGGCGCTGCAGGAATATAGAAAAAAAAAAAAAGATCCTGACAATGTAAACATTTTAGGCATTATTTTTGGAATATAAAAAAATGAAGGTTTTTACAAATACACCAGAAATTGCCTGTGGGTGTACAGAGGGCGTCCTCGTAGAAGCCTATGCTGTTTGCGGGCCCTCGGTGGAGGAAAAAAAAAAAAAAAAAAAAAAAAAAAGATCCTCACAATGTAAACATTTTACATTTTTGGCATTATTTTTGGAATATAAAAAAATGAAGGTTTTTACAAATACACCAGAAATTGCCTGTGGGTGTACAGAGGGCGTCCTCGTAGAAGCCTATGCTGTTTGCGGGCCCTCGGCTCAGAACAGGAGCCCCTGTTCTACACTACAGTATTATCCAGTGGTCTATTAAAAGGCCATGAAGGTTGACAGAGCCACTCACTCTGACTGTGGAGTCCATATCTCATACCAGCTCTGCTGTTTCACCAGGAGGAAGGACAGAACTTGGAAAAAGAGGCAGGTGAGGATCTGGGTCAGAACCGAGAAGAGCAGTGGCCCAGATATGAGGCTGGACGGAGGACGGCGCCACACCAGCTCGTTCCACGCTGGGTTCAGACTCACTGGACACAGACACAGAGGAAGAAGCAAATCAGTTACAGCTGAAGGCTCACATCGTCAATACTTAAATACTTGTTTGAACCTGGAATTCGGTGAAGATTTTTTATTTTATAAATATCTGTGATACTCACTCGTGAAGGCAATGATGAGAATGATGGCAATGTCAATGAAGAGGAACTGGAAATCTCCTAAGTTACTGAGGATCTGGAAGATCAGTCAATGATTCAGTGATTACACTCACACATAACAGAAGAATGAAAAGGTTTTTTTACGCCACCGTTTCTTGTGTTTCTGTGAGAAGTGGAGTGAGTCTGTTGTACTTACAGAGTAGAGCAGCGTGACACTGAGGTACTGGATGATGCTGTACAGAGCCATGAACTTGAAGACACAGAAGGATGTAATGAGGGCAGCCCGGCCCTCTCTGTGGAGTCAAGGAGAATTTACAATTAGAGAGTACAATTAAAAAAAATAAATTGCAATATGACATGTATCTCAATGTAATATTGTTCCTAAAAAAGTTTTTTATTTTCATAAAATGCAAATTCAAATGAACCATTAAGTGCTTAAAAGGCAAATACGGTTAAAAACAAAAGTGTTACCTGATGAGGTTGGGGACACAGGTGATGTTTGATGTGGTGGAAGTGAAGGGTGAAGCTACGGAAGCCTCCAGTTCAGACAAAGAAATCCCACTGTGAGCTCTCTTCAGGGCCTGAGTGAAAAGAAAATTGAAAAATACCTAATACGAAACCCATGTAGGACTGCAGATAAGAGTAATGTTAGTATGACTCTACACAAGAACAAGTTATTTTGAAATTTAGATTAAAATGGTTACCAATAAAGAGCAAATATATTTATCTCAACAATACATTTTAAAAACTATTAAAACATGCCTTTAACAATATTTAGATAAATGTGGCACTGAGGCATAAATCTACATCAAAAACATAGAGTTTTGATTTTTTTGGGAATTTCATGAAATGTGATCTGTACATACTCCACAGTCGTTTGCACCATCACCACACATCCCGACAGTGTAGCTGGAAGGTGAACAGGTTGAGGGACAGTTACCAAAATGATTACGATGCTAATAATTATTTGCATATATGTGAATATTTAAGTGAAACAGATGAAAAAAAGAAAAGGCTCTATATAAATCTGAACCAAGAAAAACAAAGACAAACCCACTCGATGCCCTGCAGGACTTCCACCAGCTGAGTCTTCTGATCCGGAGCCATTCTGGCAAACACGGTGCCTCGCAGCGCAAGCTGCAGCACCCCCATGTGGACAAAAAAGGAAATTATTATTCAAAAGTTCTTCAATTAAGCAGAACTGAGGTATGCACGGCCTACAGTGGTACAACTGATGTACAATCACCTATTGAATGTTTGTATGACCAGTTATGAGTCCGTACCTTCTGGATTAGATGAGGGAAGTGTTCAGTAATAACATCAAAAGCTTTGCCACTCAAAGCAAAGTGATATCTGTCCTCCTGCACGGTGTGGTCCTGGTCACAAACGACTTCCTCCACATTTATCTCCACGCACTACAGGAGAAAAGAACAATATCGTGAGGATTTATTTGATTTATTCTGTACACATATATACATATTCATAAATATACAGTATAAATATAAATATATATGTATACATATACTGTATGTGGCATTTATATAAAATAAAATATGTATACCTATATACATTTTACATGCATGTATATAGATATATACATATATGTATAAATATGTATGCATACATAAATACATACACATTCTTAAATATATTTGTGTGTGGCACATGTCGACCCCGCCGGGAGGAGTCGAGTTGACTGTCAGTTCAGTCAACGTGATGCAAAAATGTTTTTTTTTTTACAGAGCTGTTTTCTCACCTGATTGTCTTTGTTGATCAGAGCAGGGTTTACTGTGTAACACCACGTGATACTAGCAGGCTGGAAATCCTTAGGAGGCAAAGCATCCGCTATGATGACCTTCTCATTGGCCTGGACCATCCCACAGCCCCTGGCAACAGATATGGCCGTCAGCATGTTGTCACCTAGTGGGTAAATATAGAACAGAAAAGGTTGATTTCAGCTACGTACAGTATTAGATAAGAAAACTCACTCACAGCTTTTCTTAGAGTTTGCCCTAATTAGTCTCACAGTACGCTTCGTTACCTGTGACCATCAGAGTGCGGATGTTGGCTGCTCGGAGTTCAGTTAAAACCCCCGTCGTCTCCTGCTTTATTTTGTTCTGCATGATGATCAAACCTAGGAACTCCATGTTGGTCTCTATCAGCTCCCTGGAGAAGATGGAGTCAAATTAAAACAACATTTCAAGAAAAGTAACCAGTATCTAAATTTCAGATATGTTTGCATGTGAACTGAGTGTCCGTAGCTGGCTTCTGTGAACCCAAGTCA